ATTATCTTATCACCATAACTCATATTTTGATATATATATACGTGCTTATGCAATGGTCACTTGTGCAATGGCACTCGTGACAATATGAATTTAAATTTCAAACTCAATAAATACGCTATACTTTACGATATGTATATAAAATTTCAAAAGACATACTACGGTTATAGTAATTATGATGCTTTGTTATCTGTCGCGGAATTTATTTTAAACGGTCCATTCGTAGTGATCGATTATTCTCATCAAAACGAATTAATAAAAAGCGCTACCGTGGATATTCGTATAGAATTTGAATGTATGGAAAATATTCCTGCGAACACCACAGCTTATTGTCTTATTATTCATGACAGAGTGATAGAATATAATCCATTGACTAATGTTATTCGTAAAATTATATAGTGATATATATATATTCAAAACTTACTATTTAAAAAACTTTATCACAGTTAGATAAACCGTGATATGTAGTTTTATGCTTTAAACCGGAAGAAGAAACGTAGTATCACAAATTGTTTCGCAATTCGACACATGTAACCTCACTAATCGGAAACTTTTAAAATTCTGATTTTTATTGTTACGACGATATGAATTTAAATTTTAAATTCAATAAATACGTTATACTTTACTTATGATATGTATATAAAGTTTCAAAAGGCATACTACGGTTACAGTAATTATGATACTCTGTTATCTATCACAGAATTTATAAACGATCCATTCGTCATGATTGATTGTTCTCTTCAAAACGAATTGATAAAAAAGCGCTATCATTCGTATAGAATTTGAATGTATGGAAAATATTCCTGAGAATTTCACAGCTTATTGTCTTATTATTCATGATAGAGTGATAGAATATAATACATTGCCTAATGTTATTTTTGAAATTATATGACGATATGAATTCGAAACTTGCTATTTTTAACTAAAAAAATTTCTTATATAAACAAATTAATAAATATTATGATTTTACGCTACTGTGTTATTGCAACACATTATATGTATGACTCATACTATCAAATATATAATACCATACACTTTATTTATATCCTTTCCCTTTCTTTTTTAAATAGATACTCGTACAATAGTATCGTTTGAGAATACATATGTAAGATCGCAGAAGTAATTCATTCGTCTTGCAGTGTACATCATTTTATACCATAATGTCTATTGTGTTTATCATCATTTTTGTTACCATTATTAAAACTATAATGGCAACGACTACAACGATGAATTCTCCTTCTTCTCCTCAAGATATAAATACAGAAATAATTCTATATCTGCAAAAATATGGTTATTTAAATAACATTGGGAACAATACGCAATTATCGATCGGGAGTGAAAAAATTAAACAGGCTATTTCATTATTTCAAGAATATTATCAAATACAAGGTGATGGTACATTGAACATCATACGTTACATCAAATGCGTAAACCACGATGTGGTCTCCCAGATATTCCATATCATGAGCACAATACAGGTATACATAAATGGATGAAAATAAATCTTACGTGGAACTTTCATTTGGCAAATGCAAATATCTTAAAAACTA